ATGTATATATATATACAAGATTTTGCAAATTAAGTGTATGGTAAATCTGTTTTTAGTAGATGCATTCATATTGTGTCGTAGCAGCAGTCAGATTGGAAGACATTGGTTCTAAATCTTGACGTTGTCACATTGTCCTTGGTTGCTGAAGCTTTAAACCAAACAACCAATCATTGTTTATGATTGACAACAAATAAATGTCATCAGGCTTCTCTCACTTCATCTGGAGCCGTGCGAATCTGTTTCGGGGCCTTAGCAAAGAACCTGACATCTGTTTGGCACACTGGAGACCTTGGTCCACATCAAATCCATCGCTTTCTTTTCACAATAAAATAAATCTATTCCATCACCATGAACTTTGTCTGTCTTTAATTTACATGTTGTTATGCCTAAACTCCAGCGGAGCTTAACTAAAGAGGTGGCAGATCAGAAAACGTTCATGCGTTATATCCAGTTTGATGTTTGTCTGTGAGGAGTTGAAGTTTAATATGTGCATCTGTGGAGGTTCTTCTACTGTCACTGCGAACCGCTCCCTTTAAAATGTCTTCTTTACTGCATGTTGGGGTTCAGGATGAGGTAATGAAGACTTTTAGAGGGAGCCGATAACAGCGTTTCAAGTCCTTCGAGAGACAGAAATCACAGTTATAGTTTATAAGACTCAGCACCTGAACAATATTCATATTTCAAACAGCCTTCGTTTTCAAAGTGAAGCGACTTCATTGTTGGGATGTTTTGGACCTTTTCTACACTGAAGTTTGACTGAAACATCCAGTCAGGAGCTGCACAGTTCATGCAACAAGACAAAAACACAGAAGTGGACGACAGAAACAAAAGAAAAGAATAATATCTCCAGGACAACGGCCTCCCATAATTATTAACAAGCTGACTTTGAATGCACGCACAAGCAGACGCAGTAAAGCCTTCAGTCATGAGACAGAGGCTTTAAACAAAGAGCACACAGAGGCCTCCGGGGACGCACTAGGCTCTGGGTGGTCCTGGTCCTCTGCCAACAACACTATAATCCTCCGTAGTCGTCTCCTGCACCTTGCAAACACCTAGCTCCCTAATGACTGCTCTGTCTCCTCCACCACATTCCTGCAGTCTTCCCCCCCCCATAAACACACATTGGAAGAAGAGTTCGCTCCACCCTGAACACCTCCTGATTACCAGACCCACAGATTGTGACTCACTTTCCACTGCTGCTCAGAAAGTATTTCTGCAGTGTTACACCTGAGGAGGTGAAGGGATGAATGCACCACGGCTGAGGACTGCTGTGCAACATTTGAGAGTGAAATGTATAAATGCAGGGAAGATGTTTTAATGCATGAGAGGGGAATTCTACAATGGATGCCTCCAGCGTGTATGGCAGCATACATGCATGGAGTGGGTTTGTATAGGTAGCAGTGTGTACGGTGCAGAGAGCTGGGCGGATGGAGGCGAGCTGGCTGCTGCTGTGTCCTATCTGAGGCCGGCCGAGGAGCTTGTGCACCGGGAGGCTGTGGGATTCCAATCCTCCTGACGATATTCATTAAGCTGTGAAATTGAGCTGCACAACCGGACTGTAATCACATTGTCTCTCTCTCTCTCTCTTTCTACCCATCACCCCCCCCCTGGGAGTCACAGCAGGTCTCCCCCACTCGCTGCATTAACATGCCCACATGGGTTTAGCTCAGTGAGCCTCTGGGTTTTATTTACTGGCCCGGACTTTGGAGCGCTAGGGGAGACCTCTGAGGTGGATCGGGCGAGTAACGGTCCATGTAGACGGTCTTTGTTGTGCATCCATCCTGCATTAGCACGGTGTGCATTGGGATGGAGCCTCCCTTCTTGTTTTTAATGCAGCGTGAAGACTGCAGAGACTCTTGGTAGGTTATAGAACAACAATGTGTCTTTGTCAGCTGTAGCATTTAAATGATGTCTCTGCCTTCATGGGCTTCTTCTGTGGTTTGGAGTTTAAAATCTTACACAACAAGAAATGTGTGTTTAGAAGTTTTAATTTCATCCCACTAGTGAAGCGCCCATTCAAAACCTGCCACGTCGTAATGGGTTAATAGCTTGGCCTCCGGTGTTTCTGCTTGCAGCTCGTCCAAACAACTTCACACCGGACGCTGCCTGTCTCTGCGACAGTCGATCGGATGAACAGGTTGTCGAGAGAATCGAAAGGACAGACGTTCATACGGAGACTCCTTCCATTTCAGTTAGATGTAGAGTATCAAAGTGGACGGGCTGGTCTCAAAGAGAGGACGGGTCACCCAGGAGACGTAACGTAACTTCCGTACTTAAGTAACACCACTTCTGTAGTTATTTTAGCCCAAACTAAAGCACAGCTAATATGTATTTGCACTTTTGACACTGTAAACCACATGTTTATTCTGTCTATGACTGGTTTAGATTTCATAATGTTTATATATGTCATTCATGTTTTTAATCAATTTCTCCTTTCTCAGATATGAAGTCGCTCTCTTCATCTGAGAGTACAGAGTTCTATCACGAGGCCACGGTTGACTGGGAGCTCGCTTCATGTAGGTGACTGACCGACTGGTAGGAGTTGCCTGCGCATTGACAACAGTGTGATCCCTCAACAGCTTCCCACTGGGACACGCAGCCGGTCGTCGTCTCCAGAGCAGAGTGGGAGGTGTTGCTTCTAGAGATGGAACGATATTGGATTCTATCACGGATCGCAATAATAAACCATCACAAAAAGTTGATTGAGGTGGATTCTCACACCTTCACTAAAAGGGACGTTCACCGTGATGCAATAAAACTAAATGTTGTTTTTTAACAAGTCATTCCATTATGTTTTATTGACATGTTAAGAGTTTAAAAGAATGGCGACATTAGATGTTCATATTGTCCCGGGTCAGAACCAGGTCTGTGAGGTGGTGGGCCGACGTTTTGCTGCTGTGGCACTTTAACATACGTCAAGTCAAACAGATAAGAGGTGGATTTAACAATAAAGCCTTGTTGTTTTTAATGATTTCCTTGCAGAGTCGTTTTTCTGATTTTGTCCTGTGTGTGTGTGAGTGACTGACAGGAGGCAGCTTAATGCTGCAGTAATGACATCAAAACACACTCAGCTTCAGTCGAGTGAAATAACAACAGAAACCTTAAGACAAATTAAGACTCTGGGATCTACAAGTGTTTCATTTTCTATTCCAAAAACAATTTTCAAGTGCTAATTGGTTTTCATAACGTTTGGTTGTGCATTTGTTTTAATTCATCGACCAAAACTGCCTTTTATCATTTGTGCTAAACGGCGACGCTGAGTCTTCCACTGAGGCAGCGGGATGCAGCACAGCTCGTTCATGTGTTTGTTTCTAGTTGTCTTCGCTATGTGATGTTCTGTACATCAGAAGCAGCCACTGCTAAACTACTGACCGTTCAGAACGCTGCTGCAAGGGGTTCAACTACAACTCACATGAGAGATCATACAGCTCTCTGTATCTTTTAGCTTTTAAGGCACAAAATGGCCTTTTATATTTTATATTTTATATTTTTTATCTCACAGACTCCACAGCTTGATTTATTACCTCAGTAAACATTGTAAACATGAGTTTATGGTCTCAATCTCTAGTTTCAAGTCTTCTTCAATACAGCATGATGTTCATTTAGTACATTATGGTCCATTTAGAGTCAAACAGACCATAAAGCAGGGGATGCTTTAGGGCGGGGCTACACGGTGATTGACAGGTCTATACAGCATCTCTACGTCCCTTCTCCTCAGTCACTTCCCTTCACTGGTTGCAAAAAACCAAGATGGCGTCGGCCAAATGCTGAACTCGTGGCTTCAAACACCCTGCCCTTACACATTTGACTTGCTGCCTCAGTGGACATGATTTTTTATGTTTTCTTATTTTTAGATCATAGAAAAACAGCTTTTCTCCCTTCCTCCTTGTGTATAAATGTGTTTTTCAACCTGTGTTTTTAACAAATATTGGAAGAAATGTAAAAAATAAAGACTTATTCTTTACACAGATCTGAAGCAACCTCTATATCCGCTTTAAAAGACAGCAAAACTTTTCCAAACAATTCTGAATTCAGCAAGTATTAAAGAAAATGGACTTCCTGGCGAAGCCACAATACTAGTGACGCACAAATACTGTGACTCCCAGAGAGAGAGAGAGAGAGAGAGAGAGAGAGAGAGCTCTGCTTCATCGCTTGGTAAAATATTCAGTCTGAACGTCCTCTCAAAGTTATCCTGAACGGATCCACCAGAAAAACAAGTCACACAGAGTTTATCTGAACACTGTGACGCTGGCTCGCTGAACTGTAGGTGCACTCGCTGCCCCGCTGCAAACAGCTTGATGTGTGATTTGTTTACTTTCTTTGCACCTTTTTTTGGGGGGGCAAAGTATGGGATTATTTAACAGAAGTAGAGCAAACAAGAATATATGGAGACAGAAGGCGTAGAGATATAAAGAGACAGGACAGGAGATGAAGTATGAGAGGAGGTAGAACAAACTTATCTATCTGGCTTCATGCACATCAGTTTGCTCTCTATTTATAACATAAGAGGCATATACAGCATGATCAGATATGGATTTATATATTAAAATAATGTAGATTATTTGGAATTATTGGCATGAATCCATGTATATAGGTGGAAGAAGTCATACTTGTATAATATCTCAAACATTTTATAAATATATGAAAAGTGATGAAAAGTATTTTCTGCAATCTGTGACTATTAATGATATTATCAAACATATGTTTGTATGTGCAAGTGCCTGAATAGATCATATTACGATGTATTAATCTCCAGATTAAGATGCAACAAATTAAAATCTGAATTAATAAATGTATTTATTTATCTATTTGTTTTATTTTGTCTGTTATTTGAATCTCCCCCTCCTCGATGTTTTGCATCGGTTATTGTTGGTGTTCCTGGTTTTGATGTCTTTCTATGGATGTGCGTGTGTGAGGATTTGTATGTTCTGTAAAATGACAATAAAGAAACACAGCACCCAGAGTGCACGTCGGGCCACCCGACAGGGTTCGGTACTCACTGCGACAGTGCGCGTCGTCGTGCCGGTAGGAACCAGGAGGACAGGAGGCCAGGCACTCGCCGCTATCGGCACTCAGCAGGGGCAGCCGGGAGCCGCAGGACCGGCAGTCCCACCCGCTGGAGCAGGAGGCACAGGATGACTGGCAGGCTGTGGAGGGAGGAGGAGAGAGAGAGAGAGTACCGCTGTCTGTCACTTCAAAAAAAAAAAATGTAATTCATTTCCCTCTTCCTATCTGAGCTGCTTTCATGGTTCCAGGACTGACTGTCAGCTCAGTCCCGCTCATAGAGGAAGCACAGAACCTGGAGGAGCGGTTTAAAGGTGAATCCGGTAAAGGAACATTTGAAGTCTCTAGTTGATCCAGACGGGATGTTCTGAGACGCTGGAGGAAACCTGAGGTATATTTCAACCCAGATGGTGAACACATTTAAAGAAAATATCCTCAAAAAGTGGTTGAATAAAATGCAAATCAACATTTGCTATGCAAATTTTCTCAAAAGAAAAAAATCTTTCCTGGAGCAATGAAGATTCATCTTCTCTGTAACTATGAAACTCAACGTATTCTCATACAACGGTTCATAAGATGTCTTACGGAAAAGTTACGCCTTGTTTTTTGTGCGTTTTCCTACGAAAGTCTAGCGACACGTGACAATTTCCGCTCGTTACATGAATACATTCTACTTAGGCAACAACACTACTTAGTTAGGTTTAGGCAACAACACTACTTA